AAACACAAAGTTTCAGTGCATGTGACACATCTTTCTGGAATAACTTTCATCAGGTTGGTCGAATTAAAATTATCAAATGTTACAAATTCTTCAATATAAAAATTGCCTTCAAATTATTTTCTGTCTTTTGTGCTTAAATTTTGGTGTTTTGCAACATGTAACGTGAGAACATGATATAAAACTGGAGAATTGTTGATAGTAAAACTCCCAATATTTAAATACAATCGTGCATCCATTTAGTATAAAACCGCAAGTAAATTAACTGTAACAAAATATTTAGTCAATAAGACAGTATCGCGTTTGGTCAGTATGAGTAAGGCCGCGATATTTAGTTTTCGTCATCTGTAACGCATGGTCTATTATATGGAACATTTGTTATCGTCCCGTCTATAATTCCACCACAATATCTGGTGTACGTACATGTATACATATTTGTAAGCAGCATTCAAACAACAGCGATAAGTAATGTTGAATTTTGCTTTAAAAGTATGTAATAATTTCATAAATCTAAATACAGAAAAAAGATTTATTTGGCTTCTTTCTTGTGAACACAAAGAAATATGCAACACTGTGGCTTTAACTTGTTGTATCCTGCAATCAGCTAACTATTGTACTAATAACAGGTACACAAATAAATTTTTGCTTTATTTGTACTTGTACAAATAAAGTCTCCTGTTATCCCGCTTCCATGTTGAGCAAGCGGTAATGTGGATATTTCTTTTTGCGTACCAGTTCATTTTGGGGTCCTCTTCGCGGTCCGCGCTTAAACTATGTCGATTTCTTTGAAAAATTTGAGACAATGATTTAGATTTTAACAACTAAAGTTTCAAGTGTTGGGTGTAAATTTCGGAATAAAAACAATATATGTACATTGTCGGAAATACAAAATTTATTTGTACTCGCTACGAAACAGGAGAAAAGCTCGGTGAGCCTCGCTTTTCGTCCTGTTTCTAAAGCTCATGCATACAAATAAATTTTATATTTTCCGACAATGTACATATATTGTATACTAGTATATAAATGTTTTACAATAATAAAACAACTGCTTTAGTTAAACCCAGATTATCATAAGAATTATCGTTATTGTTTTTGTATTTTTGCTTATGTCTATTTGTAATCATTGTATGTAATATGTCCTGTATGGGCCTATTAAACTAGTTTAATAAAGTATTCGTATTCGTGTAAACGTAGTGCTTTTATTTGTCCATGTAGAACATGTTAAAATAAACTTTTAAATCACTATCAAAAATTGTATCTTCTTTAATTTACATCACATAAAAAAAACGGAAACTGTAATGCCAAAATGCTAAAGTTTCGGTAACCGTATTAACGAATTTTATCTGTAGTGTAAAAATGAATGATATAATCTTTTGCAAAGAGTTCACAGAAATCATAATTCAATTAATCTTTCCAATCTGTTGTATCGTATCACAAAAACAGAAAGACCAATTTGTTTCTTTACCTTAATCTACAGTATCACAGGTCATATGTGTACTTAACATTAAAGCATGGTTCACATAATTATAAACGCCAAAAGATATGTTCACAATCGAAATTAGGACAGATTTAGGCAAATTTTGAGTAATTATCATAAAACTTATAAAAGAAAGACATCTTTAACCAAAACCAAAATTATGTTTGAAGTAAAGCTGTGTATTGGCTATAGGATGCAAATTCATTCATTAATCTTACCGATGTCCTTCGATGAAAAGTTGACAAACATGTACTACTTGCAATTTTGTATCAAAATGCCTTAAAGTAGTATATATGTAGGATATATACTCTAAATTTCTAGTTACTGTAAAAAAATTTAATACCTTTTGATTTTTACCTTATAAGTAAAACAAATATAGGGGTAATTGACCCTATCACTTTTCTATAAAAAGCGATTAATGCAAAAATATATGTAAAACCATTCAGACACCCATGGCGAAGTTTGTCTTCCAGGCTCTGAAAACAGCCGTTTAGGGTAAAATCCATAGTTTATAACGATTTTATTTGCTTAAAGATACAAGTTTAATATCCGGCATATCAATAACAGCCACAAAACAAACGACGACAAAATCATTCTTCCATGGCCTGACCTACCAGAACCTGCCCGAGAAAACACAAAAATATATGAAACTAGAAAATTCTAGCGTTGCGACAACGTTGTGTGGATGGTCGTCAGGGCGTGCCATGGAGTCAACATAATTACGTTGTATTGACGCCATTTTGCGACGCTGTCGCAACGGCAAACTAATGTTGTCACAACGTTCATTCATTATAAAGCTAATATTACTGCTGGGTTAATAAATTAGAAAAAAATCATTAATTGCAATAAATCAGAGATTTAGGATGCTAAAAGAATTATGCTGAAAGAATTTTTTATTTTTCTGTGTTATATGATAGGTAAGTAATTTTATATATCTAATTATTGTTTTACAAATATCTGATTGGAACAGAATTCTCTTTTTCGTTGTTTTAATAAATCTTTGATGGGATTTTTTCAATAACGTTTTGAACAGCAATTTTATATCTTGAATTTTGACTGGGTGTTGAAATTATTGATGGATTTTAAAGTTATGAGTATAGCAACGAAATAATCCAAGATGGGCAACCGTTAACATTTCCATTTCATTCCAAGCTAAATCTGGTACTAATACCCGGTCTTACATTTTCTGTACGTAGACGTACCCAATTGTAAAAAGATGCAATTTAAGTTGAATGTTTGCCTTTTCCTTACAAGCCTTTAAAGTTTTATTGTTGAGAGCCGGGAGGAAATAAATAGACAGCTGTTGTTAAGACAAATAATTAAATAATTATATTCATCATAATCATAACTGCAAAGTCAAATAAAAGCATATATTTTATAATATAGAAACTGGGAGAAAAAGCAACCCGCCTCATTTTGGGTTTTATATTTCAATTGATTAATCATTGCACACCATTATACTCATTCAAATCTGGGTTTTCAATTCAAAAATTATGATAAACTTTTTAAAACGTGTACTTTCAAAATGTCCATTATATGAAAATTTACGGCATGCCATGGTCATTGATATACTTTTATTATTTTAATGATAAGTTTGTATACTTGTCTGATGAAGAAAAACATATCTTTTTGATAATAACAAATTTGTAACATTGTTGGCAGAACCTGCCATAACAAGGAGAAACAGTATTCTATACAATTGATTGCTCTTTATCAGGTTTTATATGATCATAGATAGAAATTGAATCCGTAAAGCAAAATTTAGAAAATCTATGTTGAAGATTTCTCATAATCTGTAAAATCAAATTTCGGAAATTCGTTTAACAAGTTCACATACATGTACACTTGCACAATTATTTTCTTCTTCTGTTAAATTTAGTGTGTCTCTTTTAAAAAAAAGTCATATACTTACTTGTCAAATATTTAAGTCGACTTAGCATGATTAATTGTAATTAGCTTTGAATTAGCTTTCAGTAACTGCAATTACTCTTATATCGGTGTTTTATGTCTATCAATTTTATGTTGGGTGTTGTTTTGCGCTTTGTACCGATCTACTGAGTTAAACTATTTGCAACTGATTTTTACATGTTGTTCTTATGTTGTGCTGTAACACCACTGTCCCAGGTTAGGGGGAGAGTTGAGCGCTCATAAACATGTGTAATTACGCCATATTCTTTATATGCATGTCCCAAGATAGGAGCTTGTGATTCAGTGATTGTCGTTGGTTCATGTCTGCCATATTTGTTATTCGTGAATTGAATTGTTATAAATTAGGCCTTTGGTTTTCTCGTTTGGATTGTTTCGCATTTTTCATGTCGCCTTTTGCAGCTGCATGACTATACGGTATGGGTTTATCTCATTATATAATTTCTTTAATCTTCATCATTTAAACTCCTGTGGAGAGTTGTCTCATTGACAATCATACCACATCTCTTTATATTTTTATATAGTTAGATATTAATGTCCCCTATGAAGATATTTATCTTTATTATTTATTATGATTTTTGAATCTACTTTAACTGTGTCTGATTTTGGCTTATTATAAGTTCGAATAAAAAAAAAACATTTTATTTGATATGAATATTATACATGTATGATGTAAGTAATGTTTGAATTTCTAATTAGCTCTTCGAAAGATTTCAGTAAATTTGTATTATAATTTTGTTGTTGAGTTGCTGTTTCATTGGAGTTTAGCAAAATCAAGTTTTGTAAAAAAAAAAAAACAAGCAAACGTACGTTACATGAAATTGTGAACGTCAATAACGTCAAATTAGAGATGGTGTGACATTTTGGTAGACCACCATGTAACCGCTTTCTTTTGATGATTTGTACATTAATCTTTATTGTATTGAAATGTACCTTTTACAAAGGCATTTGAGATTTTTTATGACTGATATACTTTTTCCGCTTTTAAAGATTTGTAACAACTTGTCCTTAATAATTCAAGAAAAAATGAAGACGCTAACATTGTAACATTTTATTAGACACCCTTTCAACACATCATCAATCGATAAAATTGTTATAGAATGCATAAATTCTTTTCTCTTTTATTTGGAATTCATCATACTGACTTCATTTCCTTGTTTTTAAATTCATAACACATTATTTGTAATTGTTTTCTATAACAAACACCAAAATTACTAACGTAGAACGTAAAAGTTTTGTGACAAGAGCCCTGTTGGGATTCAGATACTCGGTATTTGTTTGTTGTGTGCTAAAATGAGGTTGCTGTTTTAATAAATGACGTTGCAATGTTTTAATTTAGGAGGTATGTCATATTTTCGGACAAGATGACATGTTTTGCGAAGTTTTACACAATATTGAACATTCTTTATTCAACAGGTTTTTATTTTAAAGTTATTGTGAGAGTGTACTTTAGGCTTTTTTTCTGGTAAGGCCTAAAAAAAATTATCTGTGTTTCCGGTAACATCATTTTGAAAAATAGGATCGGTAGGTCGTTTTTTTTTGTTTTTGTTTTTTTTTTTTTGACATTGTAAACGAAATCCGGAAAATTATCCGGGTCCGTAATTAGTTTTAAATACCGGAAGTGCGGCCATTTGCAATGTTTTTGAAGCAACTGCTGTGCAAATTTCTTGGATTTTAACCTATTTGGAATACCTTTTGTCATAAATAAAATGTTTTACTGGCTTTCTGTGCCAGTAGAAACAAGATAGATAAATAATTATGTCGATTAACAGAAACCTGTGTCAAAAACAGGGTCGGTTGATACCAATTTTTTTTTTTTTTTGAAGATCCAATAAAAAAATTAGGGTCGGAGCTAAAAAAAACAGGGTCGGTCGGGTTACCGGAAACACAATTATTTTTTTCTCGGCATAATGATATCGAAGTTTTATGGCATTCGTTCTTTTACATTAGATTTATTTGCTTTCAAAGCATTTTCCAAACTTGTTTTACATAAGTTTATACTAGTCTATGCACATGCGCAGTATTTGTAATACCAGAGACATATATACACAGAGATTGGCAACTCCGTGAAATCCCGTTAAAAAACGCGGCCCGGAATGAGATTCTCGTCGATAATTATTCTACAACATGTAGACAAGTCAGGGATGAATAACCTCGATAGCTAATCAAGAAAAGTAATAGGAAAACTTATTTCAGATCAAATAAATTCTTTTTCTAAAAAACTACTTGAAATAGTTGTATTTTTTTTAATGTATTTGATTGAGAAAATATTTTTTTCTTTTTTTCGGCATTTCTTTTAATTTAAAAAGTAAAATCTGGTAATGATCATGATATTACAAGAAACATTTCTTTGCTAAAGTTTGCTTCTATATTACACAGTGAAATTATGTGTGTCCGATTTTCCGGTAATTATTTCCTTAGAGTTGTGACTGTGGATTCACTGGTGTGCGATTACGCAATTTATTGCCCTCCGATCACCTGAATTTTGCCGGAGGTGAAGTTCTAAGTGGATTATTACTTGGTAATTGTTTTTACAACTAAACAAATTCTGACATTATTTTAACCATGACCAGAACTTTATTTTAACAGAAACACTGGGCTATACTATGAATAGGGTAAACGGACAGAAAGTCACAGTACAAAAAGTCACAGGACATAAAGTCACAAATTGGATAGGACAAAAATCACAAATAATTTATTGACAATTGTTTGAATATATAAGAGAAAGATCTTCAAATAATATCTTTTTTTACATTTATTCATTTTTAAGTTCAGGGAATTGTTCATAAGCCTTGATAAATGAAAAATTATTAAATTTTAATCATGCAAATAATATATTTCTTGGCACCATGAAGCCATTTAAGTGCCAAACCACTTTGACATTTTGTTATCATTACAATTATTTGATCATCATTGATATTTATTGAATAAATTTTAATTACAAAGTTGCTTCATATATTATAGTTCAATAAAAAATCAAAAAATTATTTTTAAAATTAGTGTTTTCTTGTTCAGAGAAAAATAATCTCAAAACTGAATTGTGACTTTTCGTCCGTGACTTTTTGTCCTGTGACTTACTGTCCTACATTCTACTATAGTATTCAATCAGGATCAAAAATAGTCATTTAACATGTCAAAAAAAGAAATCAGAAAGCAACTTTTTTACATAAAAAAAAATATGTAGCCAGTAGAATTTTGTCTCGTGGAAAACGGATTTAAATGATTAATTTTTGATTGACCTACAATTACATTATTTGTGGAACCTTTGCATGAATTTCCTAAAAGAACGTACATTATGTACAGTGTTGTCGAAATCACTATTTTTGCTGTCATGAAATATAGAATATGAATCTGTCATTATTTGTAGTTTTTTATAGACTTAATATCACAGACCCTGATTAAAAACAACGTGTATCATAAGTACAGTAAAATGCTCTGCTGAACTGTAGAATTTTAATGTTCTGTTTCATAGACCACAGAAGTACTGCAACATCCTTATCTTTACTCTTTCCTATCGGGTAGTGAAACTCGAGTTTGAAATTAGAAAGATTTAAAATTGAAGACAAGTTTTATCTGATCTTTTGTAGGTTTATGTTTCGGTGCAGTGCTATGTGGGCTGTTATTTTTTCATTTGTCATTTTTTTATCTGTGTTACATGACCTTGTACTTTTTGTATTGCCCCTTGACATCTCCTGCTTCTGTTTAAACCTTTACCACTAATATCTCATCTGGTTTAAATAAAATAGTGTCTCATTCCCGGAATTTGTTATACAGGAATTCATTTTAATATCAGTTTTTTATAAGCATATAAACTGCTTGGTCTCTTCACACAATTTATGTTTAGGACGGAATGCATCAATAGGTACATACATGTACCAGGTCACCAATATATAAGTACACGTTATGTGCTTTTGACCTCCACAAGAATTCTTAAACATTCATAGATGTGCAAAGAATATTTTTGTCGTTGGGTTGTTGTCTCATTGACATATACCTCACATTTCTGAATAGTCATAGCAGCTGTGCCTTTTCAATTTATTGCAGAAAATATTTGCATTAACATTTTTCAAAATAGGCGAGGTGAAACAGTGATCACAGAATGAGGACATGTAAAACTGAAACAACACAACACAACAGATAAATATAAACAAGCACCATTGGTAAAGGACTGAAACAAACATAGATGATGACTAATATGAGCGACTAGTAGTGTACAAGTAGAGTGAACATTTCTTGCTTCTTATTCTACACATTTTGTCATTTCATGTAAACAATTAAATATGTTATTTTCCGAGGAGAGGAAGGAATTTGTGAAACGAAATATTTTGTCTTTAGTACTGTCAAGTTATATATTCACAGGAGTGTTGTTGAATAAATGAACATTTTCCTTTTTTTTACATTATGCTACCTTTATGCTACAAAGGTAGCATTTCCATTCTCATGATATACAAATATTATAGAGTGGCCTTCCAATGATAGTCATACATGTAAATCATTGTCTCATTGGCAATCATACTTCATCATCATATTGTTATACATGTATGTAAAAATTATGTACATGTATACTTTGTAAACGTAAAGAAGACAAATGAAGTTGAACACAAGATATTTATTTGCATTTTTATCCGTATAGTCTCTGCACAACTGCCACTTCTGTTTCAAATTCAATAGATTGAATGCGGAGTCTTGTATTTATTCTTAGTTCAATGATGTCACGCATACACATGTACATCAAGTTTGGCATATGAACTATGATATTTGAACTACAATAATGTGGTGTTTTCACAGTCAGGATAAGCACATGTCATTTTCTCTCTTACAAAACCATTTTTTAGTATCACATTGATAGTAGTACATGTAATCGGTCCACTACATGACTGTGCAGTAACATTTGAAAAAAGTCATCACTAATAGTTGTTCCTGTCTGCCAGGGAATCTTTTTTTTAAATCAGAAAGGCTAGGGAGTCCTACATTCAGCACATGTATGATATTACATCTCTTGTATGCTGCACTGTTAGGTAAATTTGATCAACATCTTTGTTCTTTTATAACATGCAGGATCCTGTTAAAAAAAAATGCTGTCAGATACTGAATGTAAATATACATGTATATAAACTTGTAAATGTCATCAAAGTGGTGGAAATAATGAAAAAAACAATTTATATACACAAAACCGGTATGTCTTGGGAAAGTAATTCCTGTGATCAATGGTGATGGGTACATTTGTTCTTTAAAGATGGACAATTTTATAAACTGTAGCCATGGACAGGTGCCTGTCTTTATATTGACGAGAATGAAAATGGCCGACAGCTTGAATGGTCATTTTTAATTGTAAATTGCATCAAAGCTGGTGAAAATATGGAAAAAACAACTGTTATACACAAATCCAGTATGTCATAAGAAAGTAATTCATGTGCTGGGAATAATTATTCTCTAAAGATGAAAAAGTTTATTGACTGTAGACATGGACAGGGGCCTGTCTTTATATTGAAGAGAATGAAAATGGCCGACAGCTTGAATGGTCATTTTTAATTGTAAATTGCATTAAAGTGGGTGAAAATATGTAAAAAACAACTGTTATACACAAATCCAGTATGTCATAAGAAAGTAATTCATGTGCTGGGAATAATTATTCTCTAAAGATGGAAAAGTTTATTGACTGTAGACATGGACAGGGGCCTGTCTTTATATTGAAGAGAATGAAAATGGCCGACAGCTTGAATGGTCATTTTTAATTGTAAATTGCATCAAAGTGGGTGAAAATATGTAAAAAACAACTGTTATACACAAATCCAGTATGTCATAAGAAAGTAATTCATGTGCTGGGAATAATTATTCTCTAAAGATGGAAAAGTTTATTGACTGTAGACATGGACAGGGGCCTGTCTTTATATTTTAAACATTGAACGTGGCCGACAGCGAGAATACTGAATTTTAATTGTAAATTGCATCAAAGTGGGTGATTTAATGAAAAATTCAACATATTTACACAAAACCAGTATGTCTTGGGAAAAGTGATTCATCTCATAAATGGTTTTATTCCTTTTCGAATGAAAAGGTTTTAATAAAAAATACGTCCGTGTAAAAAATTTTCATAACGTCCATGTCGGCCAAGCTTTCCCCTTATTATTGACCACAATAAAACGTTAATCGTCACAATATTTTGACTAACAATTACTACAAACTGAATAAAACAAGGTAAATAATTTACGAAATTGAAATATATACTTACATTATGCTGTTTTGAAAAGCTTGATGTAAAATAAAAATCGAAGCGGTGGTGAACTTGTCATGATCAGATGCAAAATGGCGATCTCGTTAAAGTCTCGTGTGATGCGTGTTTTTAATTGGATTTCGCTGACCACTGTTACAGTTGCCAATCTCTGTGTATATATGTCTCTGGTAATACGTACTCTAGTCTAACTTGGTGTTTTGGGGGTATTTTTTTTATAGGGATAGATTTTAAAAGAACAATTTTGATCTCTCTGTACTGTCATTTAAATGTGTCATAGAACTGTTTGAAATGTATTATGGGGTCCAAACAATGTTATTGACTAGTAAGGGAGCTACCATTTGATTTTTATGGGGGGGGGGGGGGGGGGGGGCTAGGATGAAAAATTTTGTCCTGCATTTTTCTTAAGTTGTAATCTCTGTCCGTCTTTTTATTTTTCACTCTATTCGGTCATTCCTTTTTTTTTTTATTAGTTTATCCTGACTTTTTTTACATAAATTGTCATCCTGCCTTTTTTTTTTGCCAAGCTGCTTGTCCTGCCTTTTTTTTTACTCAAAACTCCTGTCCTGCCTTTTTTTTCAAATTTCATCCTAGCCCCCCCCCCCCCCCCCCCCCCCCCATAAAAATCAAATGGTAGCTCCCTAACAAAGAGTATGGCTTTAGGAGGTGTACTGTGTGACCAATGCTATAATTTTGACTTTGTTTTTCGGGAGGTGAACTATGTGACCAATGTTACAATTATGCATACGGGTATAGTTATGGCTAAAATTTTTACTTTCTTTTTTCAGGAGCGGTACTGTGTGACCAATGTTACCATTATGCATACGGGTATAGTTACTGCAGTGGTTACTGTACAGGGTACTCCGGATCTGAGTACTGTATATATTATACAGGATATTATATTTTGTAAGAATATTTATCTTCTCTATCTGAGTTTGAAGGTTTTGGGTTAGGAATTTGTTATGGGATGACCATTTAATATTCTGGGTGGGGGAGGGAAGGAGGATTTTTACCATGCAGATTGGCTATTAATTGTCATCTGCTGCTACGCATGCTTATTCTTTTCCTTTGAAAATTGATTTGCACTTTAGAACACGATTGATTACTACATTTTCATCCCGTGTTTATTATTTTCAGCTCTTACCAGGTTAGGATATTGATATTGAAAAATCCTCCTGCTTTTCCCCCTTATCAAAAAACGTTCCTAAAATATTGTAACCAAATACCTGGCACCAAAACTGGACAGAAAGTTTGAAACTTATAACTTAATGCTCGAACTTTCTTCAAAATATACAAATGTAATTAGATACCAATATTTCAATTGGATTAGAATAAATTGTTTTTAACAAGCTTCTTTTTTTATTTCACGATTTGAGTATTTCATATGTATTAACCTATGCAAATACTTTTGTGTCTACTAGCAGATACTCAGAAGACGTTCATTGTTTCCATTAAATTTTTGTATGTTTATTATTTCAATTGTAAAATATACGTTTCTATATTGAATACACACATTGGTTTGTGTAACAGTAAGGCAACAACATATAAAATAAGAAGGGGTGGCATTATTGCCAGTGAGACAACTCTACACAAGAGATCAAATGACACAGAAATTAACAACGATAGGTCACCGTATAGTCTACTATCTGAAAAATTCTTTTAACTTTGACTTCATTAAATCTTTCTTTCAGCTCTGGTGGAGCCATAGCTGGCTTAGTTTTTGGAATAATTGCCGCTGCAGCTATTTTTATTGTCGTCGTTATTATTTGTATAAAAAACCACAATAAACGAACGACTGGACGAGTTGTGGCACCTGCTCCTGGCACAACAACAGTAGCTGTCACTAACACAACACATCCAACAGGTATGGTTAGATTAATCTTCAAAATATGCCTTTTTTTTTATCTTAACGACAATGACAAATTTAAGTAAAGTTGGAAAGAAGGAGTCACACATTACCAGGATACACACAATTTTAAATTGATTATGTGATTATAAACATGTAAATCGTTGTAAGACACTTGTTGGCCGATATATTTCATTATTTAGTTGAGACTTTATTCATCTTTTTAAGGATACATGCAACCAATGAATCCGTACCCAAGCTACACGACACAACCACCGCAATACAGCCCAATGTATCCACCTCCGCCAGCTTATTCAGTTCCGATGTCGCAAGGATATAGTGCACCAACACAACCACAGTACAACAGCATATACAACCAACCAGCATTTGGGAACAGAACGCAGACAACAAATGTATAACTTTGATAGTGTTTATACTTCACCATTTATTTTTGATATATTTATAACTACTATTCTGCTTTCCGTGGGCATAAAAAAAAACAGTGCTGATATTTATAGTGTACTTTGCAGCATTATATCCTTTCTTGATAACGAACAAAGCATAAAGTTCTTTAACTCTAATAGAATTGGTGGATACTAAACAAAATGTGTTTTTCTTGTGACGTCGTTACGATGTGATATAAATAAAATTTATTTTTTTTAGTTAGGATTGTTACTAATACACAATAAACGAGAACTAAATCGAAAGCAATACCACAGGAAAAAAGGTTATCTTTACTTATCCTTTATTTTGAGTGCTTTCTAAGGTTTTTTGTGATCATCGATACCAAAGTATTGTACTCGAAGGAACGATGCTGGGCAAACAAAATGGAAAAATTAAATGTTTTTAAATGCAATGTGGCAATAATTTCCTGAAAAGATGTACAAAGACAACATTTTTTTTTACTTTCATAAAGTGCTATCGCATGCTTAAAAGAGAGGCGAAAGATACCAATGGGACATTCAAACTCATAAGTCAAAAACAAAATGACAACGCCATGACAAAAAAAAGAAGAAGACAAAAATAGCTTCAAAAAGCATGAAGATTCCAAGAGGGCAGTCAATATCTATGCATCGAAGAGACAGATGACAGTATCATTTATAGGGAAATTAAAAAACCAGATGACACACACATATAAATTACAGTCTGACTTGGAAGCGGCCGGCAGATGGGAGCAGGACTGGCTCATGCATTTTCACCCTGATAAGTGCAACATTCTCAGTGTAACTCAAAAACGCAAACCTTTAGACTTCACTTATAAATTACACAATCACTCTCTAGAAAAAGTTGACTCTACAAAATATTTAGGCCTAACTCTTCAATCAAATTTAAAATGGGACAAACATATCAATAACATGACATCAAAAGCAAATCAGTCTCTTGGATTTATTCGTAGAAACCTTAAAATAGCCTCACCTAAAGTTAAAGCACATGCATTTAAAGCTCTTGTCCGACCAAAACTAGAGTACTGCTCAACTATTTGGGATCCACATCAAAAACAGCAAATTTCAAAAATTGAAAAAGTTCAGAGAAGAGCAGCGCGCTTCTCATGCAACCGCTTCCATAACACCAGCTCAGTTACTGAAATGATGACAGACTTAAATTGGTACCCACTTGAAATTAGGCGTTTACGATACAGACTTGTCTTCTTCTACAAAATATATTATACATGAAATTGTTGCAGTCCCTACATTTAACCTTTTGATCCCACTAGACAATAGAACTAGACATAGCAATCCACACTCATTTAGGCAAATACAAACATCTAAAGACAGTTATAAATATTCATTTTATCCACGAACAGTTATAGATTGGAATCTTCTGCCACAACAAATAGTATCATGCAGTACAGTACAGGGATTCAAGAGTATGATCTCAGAATCTGCTCTCATCCCCATTTTCTATCCCTAACTATTTTGTTATCAAATGTATATAGTTTTATCTAAATGAAATTTTACAAATGCACATACATTATTTTGATTTTTTGATTTTGTTTCTTTTTATTTTTCTTGCTACAATGTAAATTATAAAATTTTATAGTCGACGCCCGGCGAATAATCTTCAATAATTGAAGGATCGCTAGAAACTTAAAGAAGAAGAAGAAGACACAGAGAAACACACTGGCATATGAAAAAGACGAAATAAAAACAACTAAAAATCTGTGAAAAAGAGGGAGCAAAATAGAAAAACCTTAATTTGAATCGCCATGTAGATATACCTCATTGAGCGTAAATGTAGAGACACGTGTTTATTACTTAAAACTATTTGACCTCTAAATGTCTTTGTTTCGATTGTTGAGTTGTCATGAAATAGAAGTTCCTTCATAATGTAAGTTCCAAGTGGAAGAAATATTCTGTAATGTTATTTCAACTGGAACAAATATTACAGTATTTGTTCTTAACGGAATAAATGGTATAGAATATTGGTTCCAACAAGACAGCTATTATGGCATTGTTTATAACAAAGTTTCCAGGGGAACTACTGATAGGCGGAGTAAATATTTTCTCTGAACAAGTACCCAATTTTTTAATCAGGGCCCTCTGATGTCTGCCTCCGGGTGCGGGATTTTTTCGCTATGTTGAAGACAAATTGGTGGCCTTGTGCTGTTTTCTGCTCTTTGGTCGGGTTGTTGTCTCTTTGACATATTCCCCGTTTCCATTCTCAATTTTATTTTGAAAGATTTGTTACCTCATTGTCATATATCCCACATCTTTACCTAATAAATTTAATGGAAAACCGCTATGATATGCACAAATATTTGTAAGTGGTAATGTATTGATTATATCTTATAAATCTCTAAAATGATATTGAATTGGAAATATCAAACAAACAATCAACACATAAAAATATAAACAATAGTCATATTAAATATTTATGACGATGATGTCAATCTATGTAAAGTGTGGGGAAATCAGAAACGTATTGATTCAAATAGACAAATAAAGGAAGGCTACACTATAGGGCAAAGAGTAGTCATGCAAGTGACAAAGGTGTAGTCAATTAACTGATTATTATCATAGGTATCATATTAAATATTATAATACAAAACCAACCGAATAGCTAACTTCTTGGAAACATTGCCAGAAAATGTTGCATTCAAACGATCTTTGTCTAATACTTTTAACCAATCAAAGTTATATTATAAACCTGAGCAACTACTGAGCTTGTCTATTCATTTAATATCAAATTGACGTGATTATTCATATTTTAAAAGTTGAAAAATCTTGAACAGTATACATATAAAAAAAAGTTAAAATGACACTGTATGCTGTGAAAAGGTATATAAGCCTATAACTTCAAGTATTTCATTGTCGATGAAACACACAAAACTATCAAGTCGAAAGAAGCAGGACTTATTTACCATAACATATCAGAAGCATATAATAGAAGAACAAAGAATATGGGGTATCCATCCATAACACAAATTCAGTACATGCACAGCAAAAAACACAGAAAATGATTTTAATAAAATTGATAATGTGACGGCTTCATGTATACTAAAAAGTTCTGACAATCTTATGACACCTTTCTGAACATTTCATCAATTATTAATAAATGTTTCAAGATGGCAATACAAGTTTAGGAGAATTGGCAAACATTGAGTATTTATCTTTATTAAAATGATAAGAAAGGCGCTCAAAACAAAACAATAAAAAGTACCAAAAGTGAAACTTTTTTTGTTGCTTTTAAATAAATATTATTCTTATTTGTTCTTGATGTACTTCAATACAGAATAAAAAAAAATGACGCAAAATTCAATCAAAATGTCTTTCATCAGCAAATTGAAGGTCTAAATAACATTTTATATGCTGGATATTTGTACAGATGTACAGATGTAATCAAATCTTTAATTCGTATTAGAGTAACCAAAACGGTAACAATTTTACGGCACCAGATGCGCATTTCGACAATTGATGTCTCTTCAGTGATCCTCGAGGCCGAAATATTTAAAAATCCAGACCTAATTCAAGTAAAGAAAAATATATAAACGCTTTAGAATTCAAATTCATCTAGATTTTATTAACAGTCCGGTAATGGCCTTGCATGCGGACTAAAAAATAAGCGAATATGTTTCTTTCTTTGTATATATCTACTTTTCAAATTTTTGATCCACGAAAGAAATACTGTGAAAAGTCGGTCAACCGGACATTTCGTTCTGCAAGTCGTCATTATTCATTAATACCTACTAAAAGTCAGATCAACTTATGCCGGCCCATAGAAAAAAATCTGGACAAGAGTTCAATTTCAGAAGGACGAATATGGGGAACACTATATTCCACAGTCACATAGTGGTGGGCATAAAATAACAGAAATAATTTTTTTTTTAAATTTTCTCAAAACTACCATGTTGAATATCTATGAAATAAAAGATAGAAATTATATTCTTTTCAAAGTTAATAAAGATTAATCATTTTTTTTACCTTACATATTGTAAACAAACACGTTCTGTAGCAAGAACTATGATATAAACGAGACAAAATTGCCACATTCAGTGAATAAACTAATTCCATATTGATTCAGTGTATATAATGTGCGAATCCTGAAATACCATTTTTACTGTATTCGTTATGAATTTCTAATGTAGAATGATAAATAAACAGATGACAAATTCATGATTTTTGAATAAAATAAGAAATAATATATAATGTGTACTGTTTTTATAAATCCATGATATAGGTATGAGATGCGGACGGGTTTTTATCGCGCCTACAACCATCCAGGTGTTAAATTGATACACAAATAGATAAATATTAAGAACAGTCCACGAACAGAGCGTGCAAGAGATTTAAAAGCAGCAGTTAAGTTTCATTTGCAGAAAAATGTACCTTTTAACATAATTATTAATGTTGTATAACTTAAAACAGGTTTTGTTATTTAGCTTGTTGATATTGAATTAAATTCCACCATGCTGTTTTCGTTATGCGATTCATGTTTACTGTCGAATAATGATACTAGACTTTCATTTTCACTGTAGGGGCGATTCATTTCTATTGTACATGCGAGGCATTTTCACAGAAGGAAATTAATTAATTTTCATCATATAAAGTCTTAATTCAGCCGACTCTCTAACAAAATTTATGAAGTCAGAAGGATTGATTATATATGCATACTTTGTGAGTGAAAGTTTGAGGTAATATATCAATAAATGCCGTAAAAATAACATATATTGCTAATATAGTCAATTCTATTTTCTCTAATAATTTGTCCAGGTCCAGATCTAATGTAGAATAAAATTTATCCTTTCATATCACACACCATCATTGAATAGATATATCTTGGACAGTTAAGCCAATCCACGTCACCGAAAAAGCAAAATTTTCGGTTTCGGTCTAAATATACTTTGCATACTAATAAAACGTCATTAGAGCTATTTTCCTAATGCTTGTAGTTTAAAGGTCTGGTTGCTTGCTTGCTTTATTTGTATAAATGTTTGAGCAAGCCAACCAAACCTTTAAACTACAAGCATTAGGAAAATATCTCTAATGGATGCATCTTAGATAACAAAGAGAATTCACAAAACGATCTTCGTTTCACGATTGAGTGAGTGGTAACGTTTTCATCTCGCACAAACAATTGCCTTACATTTGACGCTTGGATGACTGGATAATTGATATTTCTCATACCATTGTGTATACATCTTATACAGTAAAGAAAATTCGAGCAACAATCGAGTCACCTTAATATATGTTTGAATTTCTTATAAATCGTTGTTACAAATAAACAAATACGTAATTGTAAGAATACACGGATATATTGAATACAGTTTACTGTTACATGGTTGAATGGTTCTATACCACGGGGTATAACCGCCGTACAGTTGATTCCGGACGTTAATCGCTGCATCGCGAAGCGATTTTGGTAGATACACCGTCCTAATGTTTTCACCAAAGACTTATTGACGTACTGTTCAGTTAAGGTGGTACCAAACACCTTGACTAAAATTAATTTGGCTCGTTTAATTTTCATAAAATTTTGACAAAATATTAACTTTGACCCTTTGACAAAAATATAAAAATTTCAAAAAACTTGAACCTTACACTTTATCGGAAAAATTTCATTGGATATATAACAGTTTGACAAACACTAATTTTGATCATTGAGAAGCTTAATATTTCCTTAACAATAGAACGTGATTAAAACGTTCAGCTTATTTTTTTCAGAGTTATCTCCCTTTAGTGTTAAGTACCACCTTAAGTATTCAATGTTTATGAAAACAAAGTTTACTAGTACTGCTCCTGACATCATTGTGTATTGTTTATATTAAATGAACACCCGTTGACTATTTTATATAGACAGGTCTGTGAATTAGCTGTAAACATCGCGAAACACATGTCTGTTAATTACTTTTAAACATCGCGAAACAAACACTCTGTGTAATTTAAACTTGATTGAACTACAAATAGAGCAAGGTCGGTTGGCTCTTACACGAAATGCGACCGTGTGTTTTGTGATTTGTTGTTGTTTAAAATATATAATGCGAATGTTTTATTTTATTTGCAGACATTTACTTGAAAAACTGTCCACGATTAATTCCCTTTGAAGTTTGTTACCAAGGTATCAGGAGAACTAGCTGACTAATGACGTATACTTTTCACTTTTACATTTCTCTCTTACATTGTTGGGTTGTTGACGACGATGTTTGCCAAGATTTTATATCACATCTTATATGTCCCTAGAATAACTGAGTCTATTGTAAAGTTACATTTTTAATTTCATTTCAATATAGTAAAATAGCTTTATAATCTATTTATACGTGTGTACAGTTTCAGCTCAGATTATCAACTGACCTAGCATAAATATTTCTTTCTGAATTCCCAACGATCGCAACTTTAAACCTTTCAACTCTGACATGTGTTTTCAATCATTTCTCACTCCTATCTAGATCTTACTAACTTTACTCTAAAGTGCTCTCGCTACAGTACCGTTCGTTGTACATTCTTGTACTGTTCGTTGTGCAAAGGCCTATCAATATGGTAGAAACATGTATGAAACGGCGTGACAGATTTTCAAAGCTTTTTTTAAGCGAGGACTAAAACTTTTCCAGGAAAATTCGCCATGAAAATACGCTATATTCATGGATGTTCTACTCCAGTATATTTTCGGATCCATGACTCACTAATAGCAAACACAACAAAAATATTTGAATATGCATGATGTGAACGTGTATAACCTTAAGACAATGTGACGCATATCATCCTGACTATTCGTGTGAGCTTGACCTTTGACCTCAAGATCAAAATACTGGATTTCTAAGAAAATGGATAGCAACCAGGCGCTCCGGATGAGTAAGCTTCTCTATCTCTAGTAAGATCTGTTTCACGTCAAACAAATACAAAATTCAGGTTGTTTTAATCTTCAATATGAAATGTTAGAAATGTCAAATAGTTTTAGTAGTTGTAAATGCTTGCTAACAAAAAATAAGAAATAGGTATTTCAATAGAAACAGCTAATTATGTTCTCGATGTTTTACTAACTAACGGTACAGAACTATGACGATAACACGCAACGAACGTACAAAAAAAATCGACGAACGGTACACAACACACAACGTCCGGAATCAACCATAAGTTGGTTATACCCGTGTATATTCAAGTAAGCATCTACGACTAGCTTGCATTTCAAATTGTAAATATCATCAATATTTAAGTCATTAAAAGACTACTTTCAGTTGTTGCATGTCGAATTATCATATAAAACAACAATGAAAATTCATCGCACCTCCAAAAATTCCACATCAGAAATGATCGCACCGCATTTATAGTTAAAATGAATCGCATTCAGTAATCAATATTATGGATTCAGCTGCTTTAATTTCACTTTTTTGGACTTTAATCCTGTTATTATACATTAGAAAGTTATATTCTAATGAAATTATGCTAAAACATACTTTCAAATCTATTATTTTGTATTTTTAAAAAGTAAACAAACGCAGTTTTTCCCATCATCCTTTATTTTACAACAGACATACTCGCATACGACAGTGAAAATGAACTAACTGGATTCGCACTTTATATACTCTGTTGATATATAACAAATCGACAACAAAACAGTTACAACTAGGAGCACTTGTAGATGTCTTATATATGTAAACACTAAATATCAACATTTTGATGAACAGTATTATATAACTGTACACTTGGTGTTATACTTGAAAACGGAATCAAATCAAGACATGCAAGCTTAGATTGTTCAGCCTGGGAACCGTCAGGATGATTAATTTTCACATATAAATCTGGCCCATAGTTTTCCTTGAAACGATCATTTTCTTTTATTTCCTGATCAGGATCATCTCCCAGGTGTGAATAGTACTGCGGTTTGAACGACTGTTGACTTGATGAAACATCCTTTTTTGTTCCCTCTAACCAGTATGTTACCATTACTCCTTTACCCTACATGAAAATAACATGAAACAGACAAAGTAAATATGTTGGGTAAAGTGTAATTGAAATTAATTAAAATTATAATACTTGATTTCTAATAATTTGATTTTTTTTTTCGATTTTCTAAATCTTTTGAATAGGATTAACTTCATTTAAATGGTATGTATGTGAGGTCACATTTTGTTTACATTTTTCATTTAAAATGAACATGTTATAAACTTTTAAATGAAATATCATAAAAAAAACCATTGTCCTTCTTGTTTTTTTAACAACAAACATATAATAGTCAGGAATCTGATGTTCAGTAGTTGTCGTTTGTTGATGTGGTTCATAAGTGTTTCTCGTTTCTCGTTTTTATATAGATCAGACCGTTGGTTTTCCCGTTTGAATGGTTTTACACTAGTAATTTTTGCGGCCCTTTATAGCTTATTGTTCGGTGTGAGCCAAGGCTCTGTGTTCAAGACCGTTCTTTGACCTATAATGGTTTACTTTTTTAAATTTTGACTTGGATGGAGAGTTGTATCATTGGCACTCATACAATGTACCACATCTTCTTATATCTATATATTCTTTATTCTTCAGATTGCCTGTTACACTTTTCTTATTTTACTCTTTTTGAAATTTTAACAGATAAAATATTTTAAAAAACTACAGTTCTAGAGAATGTGTATAAAAAATAGACACGGTTTTTATAATTATCTTAAAAGTGTTATTTCTGAAATATCAATCTATTGATTTTTAGATATAACAGTTGTTAAATCCGAAATTGATTGGAAAATGAATTATTTAGTATCGCTTTGTCTTGTAGGATAACCTTCCATCTTGCATGTATATCAAATAAGATTTATGAAATATACATAATTTTTAGAAGCAGTATTCTTGATGTTAATATTTTTTGCTTAAAGCCTACGCTTTATTTTTAACACCGTAGGTATGATTGGCAGAAAAAGTTATTTGTTTTCAAACTGAATACAATTACCTTTATTTTCAGTTCTCCTCTTTTCACTATGTCAAACATTGCCTTTTCATTCAACATATTGGCAGTTGCATTACTGATATGAATTTTCATTGCTATATTTGAAGAAATTTAAAACATAACTGTTATTTCATAAGTATCCTGGATTTTGCTTGATTGAGATGTAGTTTATATATTTCTTTTATTTCTAGTCTTTTATCATATAATTTCGCGTATTTTGCCACAGCAGTGGTATGCATAATGATGTCTCTGTCGTAGTATTGTACTCACGGAGACACTTGATTATTTGTTCGCTTCATTTTATGCGGCTGTTTTTTGCCTAAATCCTTTAAAGCGAAAGAATGATGTAATCTGTTGTAGAATGTTTAACAATCTTTATTGATGTTCGGTGTAGTTAAACATGTATTGCTCAGTCTTTGGTTTTCTATGTTGTGCTTTGTATACTGTTGTCTTTTGATGGGTTTTAGTTTTTTCCCCATGGCATTGTCAGTTTTTTTGCGACTAATGAGTTTGAATGTTTCTTTGGCATCTATCGCCTCTCTTGTATATCAGGTTTAGCATGGGAGTTGAGCCTAGCGGCTCAAACAGTTTCCCCCATCTTGAATGATATCATTTTTCGCAAGTACCTCTCCTGAACATACTGTAACTGTTCAATGCCTACTACATACGTTAGCTGATGAAACTCATACAGTTGTTTTAATTTTGCATTTGTTGCGGTTGAACTGATAATTTACTGAGCTTTTAACAAATTACAAAGTATATTGGAAATGTTCACTGAAAATAATTAGAAAGTGTAGATTTTGAAATCAATATATCATATTACAATGATGAAAAATGTATTTGTTTCTGTACTAGAAATCATTCAATTTTACAATATCTATAGTAAACATAGATTTCATTACTTTTAATTGATTTCAAGAAGTGATGTCAATATTTTTTTTTTGAATATTGTTGTTTCTTTAACGCCTTTTATGTTATTTGCAAAGTAATATTAATAGTAGCTCATATGTCTGTCAAATAGGTAAAGTAAAATAAAGTAGCTCAGATATCTGTTATCTACGATAGGTAAAATAAAATAAAAGATATAAAACATTTATTTTTTAAGACATTAGCTCTTTTAACACTAGCGGTATTTTGTTTTGTTTTGACTTTTTTCAGGAAAAGATCCCTTACAATCATCATTCGTTTATAGGAATCGTTGATATTCACCTTCTCCGTTTGACTCCATTCTAGAAGCTGTATTAACGGTATCACCAAACAGACAATATCGTGGCATGGTAAGTCCGACTACTCCTGCAACCACTGGGCCACTATGAAGACCTATAATGGTATTGATAAATATATAAATGAATGAATAAGTAAAATATAAAATTGTTTAAAAAAAAATAGTTTTGTTAAAATGAATAAATTAGTCATTTGACATATCATACATCAGAAATAACACAACTACTTTTCCATGGTATTATATAATTTAACATCTAGAGGTTATAAGGAAAGGGTTTTAAGCAATCTTAACGCTATTTTGTCAGTAAAAAGTCACTTTACATTTGGAATTTTGATAATGAAAACAGGTCAATGACCTTCGGAAGAAAATAACAATACACCACACCATCAACATTCACAATTATCTTACTAAGAGACGGAATGTAACCATATCGCGTAATTATTTCAATTCGTTGAATATTTTTGTAAGTGAAAAAACACATCACGATAAGCATTTAATTCGAGATCGACGGTTGTGGAGACAAAACTAAAAGATGTCTGGTTGGTTTCTACTCGATGTAAATCCCTCTTTTCCTTTTATTTATAGAGAAACATAAATATCAGACATCCCGATATTATAGGAATTGACACTTGATACAGTTGGTGAGTGCAAAGCTCTTTTCTGGATTTTCCCTGCTCATAAAAGCTCAAAACCAAACATTTGAAAACCAGGGATATTTATATATATATAAGGAGGGACTTTATGACCAAAAGGGGACTAAAACGAATAGCCAAAAAACTTCAAAGGGTCAACTTTACCTCAGGGAGTTCATTCATTACATGATACAGGCAAAACTATCCAGAGATATTTAAATGCAAAAAAAAAACGTCACAAATGTAGCAGAAGATACCAAAAGGGCAATAAAAACTCACATTTTGAGGAAAAATAGACATAACCATGACCAAAAATAGACATAACCATGACCAAAATTAGATATAACCATGACCAAAAATAGACATAGCCATGACCAAAAATAGACATAGCCATGACCAAAAATAGACATCACCATGACCAAAAATAGACATAGCCATGACCAAAAATACCATGACCAAAAATAGACATAGCCATGACCAAAAATAGACATAACCATGACCAAAAATAGTATAGCCATGACCAAAAATAGACATAACCATGACCAAAAATAGACATAGCCATGACCAAAAATAGACATAACCATGACCAAAAATAGACATAACCATGACCAAAAATAGACATACCCATGACCAAAAATAGACATAACCATGACCAAAAATAAAACAAACGAAAAAAAAACAGCATTCCACCAAACAAGCAATGTAAAAAATCTAAATTCAGGACACGAAGAAATTATTTAGATATAACCACCACGGAAAACGTGATCTAGCATATCGTAAGTTTATTAAAATTCTTTTTATAGATGACATAGACAACAAATTTTCAAATGAAATACTTTATGAAATAATACATTCCTACGGTGATATAAAGCTTGAAACTGAAATAGTATCATAGCTTACATGGTACAGTGTATGAGTATATTAATCGTTGTTTTACCTGGTAGATCAGATTGTATTTTCTTATACAATAATTTTACATCACGATAAGCGGAAATCCCAATACAATTCAATACATTCCATGAGATGAAGATGTATGGTAGCTGAACTTAATTGTCATTTTTTAAATGTCCCTTAAGTTCAAATATACAGCATCAAATGTATTTAAATTTATTTTGATTTCCCATCTTCTTTGGTTTTGAGTGTTCATTATAAAAGTTAGTTCAGGAATAAGAATCCGACGAAATAGATACGGTTCGTTTTACTTATGTTTACCTATTCTAATTCGAAGGCAGGACTCAGGATCATGAGGCAATCTGAACATTCTGACGGCATGAAGAAGATCTAAGGCTACATACGCCATCTCACTGGCATGTTTGTCACCATTTCTCTCTGGTAAACCACTGACTACCATGTAAGCATCTCCAATTGTTTCAACCTTTGATACAGTGAAGGGTAGTTTTACTTGATTATTAAATTCAAAATGAATTCAATTAGAAAAAAAGTTTCTAAGAGAACTTGGTGGATGAAACATCTTTAGCTGGCTTATCTTGTTCCATATAAAGTGGCATACATTATACATGTTATACTCACGCTATCAGTCAATGTACTAAAGGAATAAAAAGAATCTATAAAAAGCAATAACCTTGCTAGTATGTGACAAAATACAAACAAATAATTCATCCATTTATCATATAACCTAATTTTTCAAGATTATATTAAAATTAGAAGATTTGTCCAACAGAGCCCAAATGACGTAGTATATTGTATACTTTTTTTCCTTAAACTTTACAACTCATCGTTGTATGCATGATATAATACATATAGTTATATTTGCAATATATTGTATCGATAAGTCATTATTATTTTTCGATAACAAACATATATTTATCAAAAGATACAGTACTAATACGATTATCTTTATAAACTATGAAAAGAAGACACAACATACCCTCCTACCTTGTAAACTTCATAAGTCTTTATCGTGTCGTCAAATAAGGTATACAACGAATTCAACAGTTCTACAACCTACCAAAATAAATGAAGGTTGATACACTTTTTATTTTTTCATTCACAAATATAACACGGTTGAATGCTGAAACAACATATAACGAAATTATATCAACATGATGTCAGCGACAGTTTTATCATCTGTTTAGGGTTTTTTGGACTGTTGTTTGTACTTTCGTCTTTTCCTTTTTATGTCATGGAGTGTCATGGCTTTATCCGACTCAGCGTCATATAACCTTTTTTGCACTGAAGCAACAATAAGCAATCTTCATTCAAACAATCAATCAATCTTTCTCCGATTTGAAGCCTTCATCGCTACTATTTTCTTCTTCTTCTTTTTGTTTAGTCTAATCTTGTTTTGTAAACGAGAAACATATTCCAAATTGAATGAGAAGAGACATGGAATAGTAATTAAAATGTATTTCCATCTCATTCCAGTTAAAAATGAAAGTTTATTAAGTAAAACTAACCATCCTGAAACTGTTTTATCCTCTTTCTGCGTTTATGTATGCGTGTCCTTTTTATGGCAAATACCAGATACATTTATGAATTAACAATTTTCATTCAAGATCTACCATTTGTTCTTTATTGGACAATGCGTATTCATGTAAAAAGACTATACATTCAAAAGATATTAATTATCCGAGAAGAGAAGGTTTGATATCAGTGATATATAATTTAAAAGTAAATTAATAAAGTCGTTTTAAATCTTTCAGACCTAGACCAGATGCGTCAATAGGATAAGAATGTTTTTCTATATGTACGTATCAACAGTATGTCCTGCTATACACACCAATAGGATAGGCGTATTGACATGGTGAATACCTCCTGCTAAGTATGCATCATCAAGGTGAATACCTTTCGTGTATCTCCTGTTGTGTGTACATTAACAAGGTAATCTTTTGTGGTGCAGTTGAAACAGTTCAAAGGATATCCCAAAATAAAACTGTTGCCAAAATCTTAATCTATCAATTGCTTCTATGACCTTTACCTTAAAATTGTGACCTCAGAAGTAATAGAGACATGATCAATTTAGATTTTGGAAATAATTTGATGTATTGTTCAAAAGATATTATTCGAAACCTGATTTGCCAAAATTTCGGTCTAATAACTGCTGCTATAACAATAAATTTTGATATAGTGACCTCGAGATCCATTATAGGAAGCTTTTTCACCTTATGGATTATTATTGTTTACGATCTTAATTATGTCAAAAAGATATCTGGAAACGAAATTTTCTCAAAATATAAGTACATGTATAATCATAGGCATATTTTCTTTAAGTAACCCCACAAATAGATGCCAGTATTCTTTTCAATCGGCATTTCCAAGCTATTTGTGGGAGTTTAAATATGTAATTCAAACAATATCTCTCTAAAACCAAAATATCATCAAAAGCCAGCATATCATTTGTTGTTGTAACCTTAACCATGACTTTTAAAACTCAATCAACTGAGATCTAACCACATTGGCCATTATTTAAAACGTTTCGTTAAAGACATTATTTATGACTAAAAAAAGATTGTCCGGAAACCAAATCGCAAATCGGCTAAAAAAGAGACGCCATCTTACAAAGCTGTAAGATTGATACCTGTATTGGTGTACATTCCCCAGCTATTGTTGTAAATCCGACAATGTCAGAAAAGTATATTGTAGCTTTCTCAAATGATTCAGCTTTTACAGGTTTTCCCAGCTTTAAATCTTCTGCTACCTTCCTGAAATATTTATTTAACAATTAACGTTTCCTTTGATTGGATTTTTGTAACATAGTATTCAATTTTATCAACCTATCATTGATGATACAGGAAGGTAAAAAACTGATATATACCAAATACTTTGCTTTAAATTCCATATTCAGTAGTGCTGACGTATAAGATTGAGAAGAAAGGTTGTTTTTTTCTTTTAAATTTTTAATGCATGTTTTCACCGACTTATTTCAGTGTCACATGTATATGGGTTTTTTTCTTTGCGTACGTAAATATACTTTTATCTCAGAAACACGTGTTATTTGCTTTTTATCAAGCACTCAGGAATAAACGCGTCTGTAGATGTTACATCCCGTATACATAAGATCGATTCGTCTATTATATTTATCTTGTCTTTTCTCTAGTTTTTTAAAAATTTTCGGCTTTTTTTTCAATTTTGTCTTTCTGTCGTCTTTACTTTTCTCCACGATGTTGTCGATTTGTCTATATTTACTGCCCTCATATCGATTTATTTTTGTTTAAGATACACTACCTTGGTAACATCTGATATAATAACGCATCTGTTTTCCGTTTTTCATCTTCCAACTGCGCTGTCCTCTCAGCTACAAGTTCTTCCAACTGATTAGAATACTTCTCCATCATAACAATCATATTTTCTATCACATTTGATTTCCTGGGACAGATTATAGCATTTAAACAATTCACGAAATTTGAAAAAAAAAACAACATATAAACATGTGAACAATACATTGCATACCCCCAGTATGACAAAATCCAGTTTTTGGTGGGGTTTGTGTTGCTTAGTGTTCAGTTTGCTATGTAGTGTTTTGTGGACTTGTGTCTTTTCTCCGTCTTATCCGTCTTATGTTTTTTGCCATGGCTGTTGTCAATTTATCTGGACGTATGAGTTCTGAATGTTTCCTTGATATTTGTGTACGCCTCTGTCACAGTATACACGTATCAGCATATCATTGTGTTGTTTTTTTATGTAAGTAAATAATGCCATTCCAAAGAAAATGGCAAACTCTCGAATGGCCTACATTCATATTAGCCATTTAGTTTTTTTTTAGTTAAGAATTTATTCTCACGTTTGAGGAAATCCACAATGTTCCAAAAGCTAGGAAGAAACAATGATAAACAAAACCGTACAACAAAAAACAAATATATATTTATGCATAAGTGTTTAGATATTTTCTTGACCAGGAGATCATGACTCACTTAAATGGACTGATAGTGTTCAGAGTCTTCAGAACTCGTTTAACGGAGGGTCTGACTTGAGGGTCCTCTGCCCAGCACCGTTGTATTAAAGCTTGTATAGCTTTTGTTTGTTCCATTGCCTGGTTGTTGTCCGACATATATGGAAACTTTGGACGAAATGGCACTTTCGCTGTTGCTGCTACCTTACTTATTATTTCTGAAACATTGAAATTAACAAGAATACCGATTACATACAACGATTGTTAATCATATTAGTAGCTAAAGAGTTCAGCACAAGTAATAAAAATATCTTTAATATTTTTTATTAAAGTTCAAAATTACAAGATTCCAAAAATATGGTAAGGTACCGAATTTCCGAATTTTGTTTTCTAAAAGTTGGATCTTGAAACCAAGCATAAGCAATCTCAAAGTATTATATATTAGATAAATATTCAAAATTTCAGCAAACTGAACGATCGATAGTCCTCTTCGAGAAGGATAACACACACCGCAATCTGCTAGTTCTGTCTTACGAAAGTATATTTGCATTACTGATAGTTTTTATTCTTAACAATGTTTAGTAGTTCGGTTTATTTTATTTCTATATTCCACCTATGACCTTGCAATTTATTCGGTATGGCTTGAATAGAAATATATGATTTGAAAAGGACGACACGAGATACAAAAAATATAAATATTCACTACAACATGTACTTATATTCACACACAAAAAACAAGCTTTTGAGCATACCATTTGGCGACATGTGAACTTCACATCCATATGCAGTGTCTCTGGTAACGAGTTCCTTTGCAATAATTCCGAAACTGTAGACGTCTCCCTGTACGGATCCTGCCTTCTGGTTTTGGACAATCCATGTTCTAAGATGCTCTGGTGCTGTCCAGAACAGAGATTCTAAAACCAGTGGTACAATGTAGTTTGCATTATTTGTTTACAAAAGAAAAATTATTTTATTATACTGATGCTGTGCTATCAAAGTACTTTGACTACAAAATTTGCATTTATATTCCTTTTAAAAGAGAGGCGAAAGATACCAGAGGGACATTCAAAGTCCAAAAAAATAAAAGACCAACAGACAAACAATAGTACACAAAACACAACATAGAAAACTAAAGACTGGACAACACGAACCCCACTTAAACTGGGGTTTCTCTCGGGTGCTCCGGAAAGGGTAAGCAGATCCTCATGTTAATACAAACCCGGATATAAGTCTAATTCGCTAGGTCACATTCGGGAAAAGGAAATTAGTTAACGAGCTGCCACGAAAATCATTCTGCAAATAATAATAATAATAATGTGAATCTAACCAATTACACTAACATGATCTTTTTAAAATGCAGAATTCCATGAGGTTTGAAAACTTGTATGCTATTGAAAATGATATCGCGTTTCACCTGAATATCTCAATACATATTTTTAATACCTTTATTTCTGACATGACAAACATACACACTGAACATCTTGATGCAAAAACGTATGTGTGACAACTGAAGAAAAAATACAATCAATCTTTAATCTACTACAACTTTACAAACATAACGTTTGAAGCTACGTTCATTACATGTTTATTCAACAATCAATCTAGTCGGTTTATTATGTGCATCAGAAATACTTCAATCATAAATTACTCCGTGAAAAGGTAGATGGTGGAATGATGAAATCTTATTCAAATGCATACAACAGTTTTGATCGTAATACGGTATAAAGGGCAATGTGTACACCTGGATTTTGCACATTCTAAACAACCTTTTACTCGTTTGGACACAAATTATAAACTATTTGAGAAATACAGATTCCAAATTTGCAAAGATACAGTGGATTAACAATGTTTAGTAGTACGATTTATTTTATTTCTATATTCCATCTGTGACCCAAAAAATATTATACACGGATCTATTGGGTAAAGCAGTGTGTCCTTATTATCTCTAAAAACCATAACGTTTAATCGAAAAAGATATTCCATTTCGTAACTTTGGTTGTTAATTAACTTTCGGGTTTTATTGCCGAAATTACCGAATCATGAACTTGATAAACAACCAACACAGAAGCATGAAGCACTTGAAAAGGGTGAGATGATAACAAGATGTTAAGTCGGTTTCTTTTTTTATTTGCCATTCGTTCCAATTCTTTTTTAAACTTTGTCATACCAGTGAATAATATTTCACAAATAATTGCTAAATTATTCAAAATATCCGAGGAAAATATCTGTAAAAACCATTTCCATTATGCAAAAATAAAACACAATACACAATACCTGCTTCAGTTCTCCAACTTCCAGTTTCATCAATAAGGCTTTTATAAATAGTCCTTGGTCCAAAGTCTGACAGCTTACAGGTCCATCTACTGTCCACTACACAGTTTGTACTTTTCATGTTACCATGGTATTTAAGTTCGCTTTTGTTGAGGTATTCTAATCCCTTAAAGGAATAATGTATTAAGACAATTACTAATTAATTTAGCTCACATGACTTCATTGATGAGCAATATGGACCAATCAAAACAAAGGTTAAGTCAGGTGTTTAGCTTGAATGAGCTTTTCTTATTTTTTCAAACACAACCGCCATTTAAATCATGTCAAAAGTCCGTTAAAAAAGAAACATCTGATAAACAAAGGACTAAGCCTACGAAAAAAATAAATCTGTGTTCATCTTTGATACAAATATTTCAGAGTTACATCAAGCTGTAATGATGACTCTAAATGTTAAAATAAAACTTAATTGACGGGTTTGTTTTACAGAAATACGACTTGGTCTTGAAATTGTGGTCGGAAGAGTGTTTATTTTTTAGATATGTCTAGATTTGGGCCGAACTAGATATCATTGAGATGGGAGCCATCTCTATGGTCCCCGCTGTGAATAATGTGTGGTAAAAAATTTGTATCTTTATCATTGGACATAGGGTTGTCAACTGAAACCAAAGTTTTCGACCTTGACCTTTGACCTAGGAAGTTGTACATAAATTATGACACACCCTCTGGTGTTGGTTTATATACATGTCAAGTATAAATTTTGAAATCATAACGGTTCTCAAGATATAGAGCGGAGACGATCTTTACCATAGGACACGGGGTTGTCAACTAAAACCAAAGTTTTTGACCTTGACCTTTGACCTAGGAAGTTGTACATACATTATGACACACCCTCTGGTGTTGGTTAATGTACATGTTAAGTATAAACTTTGAAATCATAACGGTTCTTTAGATATAGAGCGGACACAATTTGTTACGGACAGACGGACAGACGGACGGACGGACAGACTGATCACTATAGGGCGTCCACCATTCGGCGGGGCCCTATTAAAGCAATTACGAGATGAAAGTTCGTGCTGGAAGGATGTGACTTGTATACATAATGATTGTATTGATACAGTAAGGTCTTATACACAATCAATTAAGTGCTGCTCTACCTGACTTCTAATTGTATCATATGTTTATGGTTTTCCTTACCCTACATATATCAATAGCTATAGACAGCTTAAACATCGTATCAAGCTTAATATCATCATTTTCAATAATATCCTGAAACAAAAAATATACATTTATTTTAGGATTATTGTCCTAAAGCAAAAATAAAAGCCTTTGGAGCCAAGCATTAGATCATCGTGATAGTGTATATATTTTACATATTCTACATAAAAATCCTGTTAAATTTTATTTTTAATGTAATTTGATAAAATAAATTAGATTACTGGCTTTAATTAAATTATTTTGATGAATGATTTATATGATGAAGATCTCTAAATATTATTTTGAAGTTAAAGTTGTCTTATATATAGACTGAATTAAACAGATCATTAGCTTCTAATAACAGAGTTTTTTTCATACATTAAAAAGTAGAATAACAAAAATTCCGAACCCCAAGGAAAACCCAAACAGAAAGTCCTTTATCAAATGGCAAAATTAAAAGCCCAAACACACCAAAAGAACGGAAAACAACTGTCATACTCTGGATCCTGACTCGACACAAAAAAAAACAGACCAAACCGACCACACAGCCAGACAAACCTCCCACCCGCATGACAGTCCTACAAAATTATTTAAAAACAATATTGACAACAATGTGTGAATAAAACCAATAGACATAACAGGCACAAATTTCAATAATAGGGGTACATCAGTCAACATTGTGTTACAGTTTTAATCACTATATACAAACAAACAAATATGTCAACAAAGAAAAACAAAACGGCATAAAGACAAAGCACATAACCAAAAACGAAAGACAAGAATACAAAGAATGACCATAGCTCAATAACACAATGACGGGATGTACATGCACCGAGCCACACCAAAAGGACATCACCAAAAATAAACTAAACAGTAAAGGTTAATAACTTAGAAAGACAGATAAAAGAACACGATAACACGTAACTCATTTTTTTTCTCGCAGATCTGAGTAATTGCCATGATTATTTGCTTTCTCTTATTCTCAACATTCACAAGAACTTACAAGTATCTAAGTAGTATTTAGACAAGTCTATATTATACTGGATATAAACGTAATGGATTCTCAAGTAAGAACAGATATAACAATTTTACATTTTATTTTTAAAAAGATAAATACAACAGCACTTCATTTTGGAATTAAATTATTTATATATCAGTCAAAGTTAACCCCAAAATGCACTGGTTTTGCCGTCCTTTTTTCATACTTTGATTTAATTATACCTCTTATTTTTCATAACTTTTTGTATTTCCAGTAAAAGATTTCAGATGTCGAACTGAAAAAATATCATAATATTGGAGATTATATTCCTTAACTTACACGCAAACGGCCTTTTGTGCAATGTTCCCATAAAACAGAAATGCTTCCTTGTTCCGTGCACATTCCGACTAGAGATGTTATATTCGTGTGTTTGATATCAAGCAACTGTAAAAAAATATATGTTACTAGTAACCATGCTTTTAATCATGATGTGTTTAAAAGATAAAAAAAAAAAACCTTGTCCATATTCATATGTCGAAGTTTGCGAAATATGTAGTTCTTGTCTTGAGACCAAAAACAAACAAACGGGAAGGATTGTGCCTGATATTCATATGATGAAGACATAATCTTTCAATCAGTTTAATTGAAGTCCGGAGCTGGCATGTCAGTTAACTGCTAGTAGTCTGTTGTTATTTATGTATTATTGTCATTTTGTTTATTTTCTTTGGTTACATCTTCTGACATCAGACTCGGACTTCTCTTGAACTGAATTTTAATGTGCGTATTGTTATGCGTTTACTTTTCTACATTGGCTAGAGGTATAGGGGGAGGGTTGAGATCTCATAAACATGTTTAACCCCGCCGCATTTTTGCGCCTGTCCCAAGTCAGGAGCCTCAAGCCTTTGTTAGTCTTGTATTATTTTTAATTTTAGTTTCTTTTGTACAATTTGGAGTTTAGTATGGCGTTCATTATCACTGAACTAGTATATATATTTGTTTAGGGGCCAGCTGAAGGACGCCTCCGGGTGCGGGAATTTCTCGCTGCATTGAAGACCTGTTGGTGACCTTCTGCTGTTGTCTGTTCTATGGTCGGGTTGTTGTCTCTTTGACACATTCCCCATTTCCATTCTCAATTTTATGTGTTAAACTGTGTTCTAATGACTTATATGACTTTTCTTTTCATTATTTCGTGCTGTTTATTCATCATATTAAGTTCTATATGTAAATATAGTCATCATAGATGCCAGGATTCAATTTTTTTTACGCCAAATGAAGTTTCGTCTACAAATAATCATCAGTGACGCTCGAATCAAATCGGTTGAAAGGCCAAATAAGATACGAATTGAAAAGCATTTAATACACAATGATACAGTATAAAGATAACATAAGTCATTTATTTGTCCCTTTGGATAGTTGCTTCATTGTAATCATACTACATCTCCTTATTTTTTCATATATCAAACTAAATTCAAAATGAAATAATGATATTTGATTGCGACATGTTATTGAATGATATTAAATTTACCATTTTCATTTCTTTCAACAGCTGTCTGTCACTCTTAATCCTTTGTTTCTTTAAGCGTTTTACGTAGACAATTTGTCCCTTGTATTTTGCAGTATGATCATTAATTCTAGTATCGTCCCTATCTCCTGCTGATTTAGCCCTGGTGTCGTTTAAACCATATCTATTTGAAGATGTAACTGTTGCTTCAGTAAAACACAACTGACTTTGTGTAAAGGCGACGGACAAGGCCTAATGAAAATAGAAGAAAATAATAAACCGACAATTGTATATTTGAACTCTTAATTTTACTGGGTAAATAAAGACAACTGTAGTATACCGCTGTTCAAACTTACTTTTTAACTTTGTTATTGCCTGTTGTTATAAAGTCAGAAGCCTCTGTCCTTTGATAGTCTTGTGTGGTTTTTTTTTTTTTTTTTTTTTTGTTCATTTATATGTTTTGGAGTTTATTGTGACGTTTATTTTTGTTTATGGGCCAGCTGAAGCCTGACTTCGGGTGCGGGATTTTCTCGCTGTGTTAACGTCGAAAACCTATTGGTGGCTTTGGGCTGTTTGGTCGGGTTGTTGTCTCTTTGAAACATTCCCCGTTTCCATTCTCAATTTTCTTTTACCACTTTAGTATTGTTATCTTTAATTTTATTATTAAAGTTACTTTAAGAGATATAAGGCCCTTGATAAATATACTTAAGATACTAACCCCATTCTAAAGAAAACAAACATCAGTGATTATTTGTCAGACAATACTAGATGACGTGGTCTTTTAAACCTTGCAAAGTGCTGTTGGTTTTCCTCATTGTTGAAGGCTGTATACTGATTTATTACAGATACTGAGTACTACGTTATTTGGTCTCTGTTGCAAAGTTGTCTTATTGACAATCATATCAAATCTGACTTTATGCGAAGGCGACGGACAAAGCCAAGTGGAAATGGAAGACTTGATAAACCGACATTTTTTTATATTTCAATTCTAAAAAACACATTACTGGGAATGTCGTACGTTTCATTTTGCAATTATAATTATTATACCCTTAAGATGTTTGCAACAATGTATTGTTGCAATAATTAAGAAAAGTTCATTTTAGCTTATCACTATGAAGCTACACATTTATATGTTTTTCATCTGGATAATTTTTACGCATTTGAATGAAATTTAGGTCAATTTCAATTGTTGATTTTTTGTTCAATTCAGCCATTGAATCACATGCACTTGTTTCTATGTATGGGGAGGTCGACTATCCATATATAATAGAAGCAATGTATAGTCGATATTCCTATGGATAGAAACAAGTGCCAGTGCATTGAATCTCTTGGCTCAAATGAAATAAATACTTTCTCAGTGTTGTTGATGTATATCGATCGTGTTTCTCTTATAACTTATGTTATTTCCTTTTGGTAAACTGTTCCGACTATTGTTAATATTAGTATAATTATTAGTCATTCCAGTTATTTCATTGACAGATGGCAATTTCATAAATATATTTAAAGTCCTGATCATAAACTAAAGTAGTTTCAAATTGGATCATTTGAGGTTATTTTGATATAAGATACTAGATCAGAACAGAGACCAGAGACCAAAGAGTCTGATTTTAAAAATTAGAATTTAGAAACAGAAGACAAAACTGTCATTTAATTCATCCACAAAGTGTATTAATGATTATCGAAACAGACAGCAGTATATGTAATGTAATCTACTTTACCATATGTAATGTAATCTACTATACCATATGTAATGTTGAACAGATATATCATGTTAAGGAGGGGTATTTGCGAAAAATACCAGTCGAGAGAATGTTAAATTTCGCGAGCCGTAAGGCGAGAGAAATTCATTCTCAAGACTGGTATTTTTCGCAAATACCCCTCCTTAACATGATATATCTGTTTAATTACACCGAATGTTAACGTTCAAAAACGCATTGATGATCGTGACGTTTCAAGCGTCCAGTCGGATAGAGTATTTTTTGGCAAATACCACGGCAGAGAGGGTAAAAAGGTATATCTTTTTTGCATATACCCCGGCGGCGTTAAAAAATGAACGATATTCATTTGATAACAGTAAATTGGTGAAAAATACACTGGCTATCAACCAATCAAAACCCAGGATTCTTACATAAGGTGTAATTAAATCTACTATACCATATGTAATGTAATCTACTATACCATATGTAATATAATCTACTATACCATAAACGACTTTGCTGGTTTGTTGACCTTGAAATCTAAATCTTGGTACTTGACCTTCCATATTGTATTATTTAGCTGGTGTTCTTTCCTCCATATTCTGATAAAATATTTTGTTAATGTTTACAAAGGAGATAAAATGGATGAATGTAAAGGAAAGTCAGATTTACAATATGTTGAAATAAGACAAAGCTTTTCATTTGGAATTTTCTGACAGTGTGTGAATTCATATATGTTTGACTGTTTGTCTGAAATTTTACTTCTAAAGTATTTTTTTTAATTATCATGCGATATAAATTGATAGTCGATATACTTAGCACGAAATATAAAATGGCATATAAAAAAAAATTTAAGTAGTAAAAATTTAGACTGGCGTTAACGTTACCAAGATATTCCAAGTAACAATCAACAATTAAATATCAAAAACAGATGAGACACCCTCAGGGCAAAACAGACAAATAAAAGTTAACACAACACACCACAGTATACTACTAGTGGCATCACATTCTTTATTTCAATATAACATATACGACTTTTCAGATTTATTGTTGATAAACGTAATGTAAGGGACAATGCAATAATAACCTACCGATAGATAAGAAATACTGTTAACATTGCAGCAAATATTCCACTACTAAGACCAGAATATAAGACCATTTTCGGTGCTGTGGGGAAAAATTCATTAAAATAAATCATTTCGTGATATAGATAAAAGCAATAGACGATTTGGTGATATATAATTGCCATATTTGCTATAGCCGTTTTCGTTTTTTTATGCCATTTTTTAGCTGCAAAAGCAGTATCGTTACTACGTGTATGGTTAGCGTCACTGTGTTACTTTTCAAAAGATTGTTTAAGATATATTGAAGATAGTCAGACAATTTTTAAGATCAGTGTTGTCCGCAACCATGTATTTAATTTCGAAACAACATATTTTGCATATTCGAACATGGCTGTTAACAATTTCTATATATTTTTTTTATTTTTACCATGTTGCACATGTATGTATGATAAATTCACCTACTCTTCAATGGACAAAATTCATTATAAAATCCACAAACTGGTGTGTCCGATGGTATGACAGTGCTGCTGGTTAAACCGTTCCCCCAACGTATGTCATCAGCATCTGCCACCTGAAAAAGAAATAAAATTATCAAAGAATTATAAAACCATATATGCTGTTTTATTGGCTTGCTAGTTGATGAAATATCTGTTACTGTTTTTCTCCTGTTGGCTCTAAAGAAACCACTACCCAATCGCTATCATGATTACTAAAACTTTTGTTGCCATTAAACAATGAAAATAATATATATGTTTAAGATTCCTGTATACAATAAAATTGAGAATGGAAACGGGGGATGTGTCAAAGAGACAACTACCCGACCAAAGAGCAGAAAATAGCCCTAGGCCTCCAATGGATCTTAAACACAGCGAGAAAATCCCGCCTCCGGAGAAGGGCTTCAGCTGGCCCCTAAAAGTTTTTCTAATATATCGAAGTAACACTTGTTCTAAACTATTCTTAATAAAAAAAAACTAATTTTATTCTTTTCTCTAAATCATTATTTGTATAAGTCATGAGGAAAATGATAGGTCAATGAATACCATATAGTAATCTGTGATTTTAATTCTTTCGATGTATACGGTCTCTTGTTATTTTACAAAATCTTTTCAACTGACGTTTTTTACCGATTGATGCACACTGATTTCATGCGCTACTGTCCATTGCAACACATCGATCAAAATAAAACACAAAAACATTTTTATACACAGCTGATACACATTCACTAAATAATACATTTATGCTTTCATATCCTCTTTTAACGTGTTTTAAATTGCCAAAAAAACAAATTTGATTGATAAAAACTTTAACTATTGTACATGCATATAAAGTAGCATTCAAGCGTAAAGAAACAAAGGATAATGTTACAAAAATGTGTATTGTAACAAACATTCTGAAACGGGGGAAAACCACAAAAACGTAATCAATAACCAATAAAGAAACAGCCAAGGCGAAATTAATCTGCATATTTACCTTCATATAAAATTACTGATAGGTACAAGGAACTGTACCATTTCCATATTTTTGAATGAGCAAACATAATTATTATAATAAGATAGCAATTGTTTTCCAAAGAAATCTTGAAGATACATTATAAGAAGTAGAAGGCTTTACTTACATGTCTCTCTGTTCTTATCTAAAATATTTTAAATTCTCCGTGTTATTATTTACAGCAATTAAAGGGGCATTAGCTACGAGATGTAGAAACAAGAGGCTCATGAGAGCCTGATATCGCTCACCCGTAATTTCAGTTTCAGGCATTTGACTTATATGTAGATCTTACTTTGCTGAACAATTTTGTCATTTACACTTTCTCTCTTTCTTTAATAATATTAAAAATAATACATAACCCAAAACTGTAAAATTTCCTAAAAAATAACTATTTCTGGATAGTAACCCAACAATAAGTTGTCCTATTGGACAGAAGATTACTTGACAGGTAGGTCTAAACCTGACTAACACTTTCACCTATGTCAGTTTTGTTCTTGTTGCTTTAGTTTTTGAGATGAAAGCCAAAAACTTCATTTGACCCCTATGTTCTATTTTTAAAAACTGCCGCCATGTTTTTGAATGGATCAAATCCCCGAATACAATCTATAAACTAGATACCCTAAGGAACATTCTATTAAAGTTTTTAAGTATTTGGCGAAGTAGTGTCAGAGAAGAAGATTTTTGAAAAAGTAATTAGACTTTCACAAAAATGTAAAAAAAAAACGTTTTAAGGGCAATAACTCCTCAAGGGGTCAATTGACTATTTTGATCATGTTGTCTTATTTGTAGATCTTGCTTAGCTGAACATTTATTGCCATTTATACTTTCTCTCTATCTATTATAATATTCAATTCAAGAAAATAACCAAAAAACAGTAAAATTTAATAAAAATAAACTATTTCCAACAGTAACCCACCAATGGGTTGTCGAACTTGTCTTAAAATTTCATAACAGATAGAGATCATGACCCATTCATCACTTTAACTCCCTTTCACTTCTGCTCTAACTGCTGTAGTTTTTGAGATATAAGCCAAAAGCTGCGTTTGTCCCCTATGTTCAATTTTTAGCCATGGTGGTCATGTTTGTTGATTGATCAAAACTTCTGATACAATTTATAAACTAGATACCCTAAAGAACATTCAGATAAAGTGTGAAGGTATTTGGCCCAGTAGTTTCAGAGGAGAAGATTCTTGAAATAGTTTACGACGGCAGACGACGACGACGACGACGACGACAGACTACGACAGACGACGGACGACGACAGACGCCAAGTGATGGCAAAAGCTCACATGGGGCCCTTCGGGCCAGGTGAGCTAAAAAATAAAATATGATTTTTTTTTATTCAATCATTAATGAAAGTGAAAGGTGATATAATAATTCGCTTTAGCAGCCAGTTTGGTTTAGTTTTGTCAAAATAAGCAAAGAAATATCGCTAATGAATTATTCACTTTCAAGTGAATAATTCGACCTCATTAAATCCATATTCATGTGAACTTCAATTCAACCCTTAGCTAGAGATGCCTTACGCATGAACTAGTCGTGTTTATCTATTAAAAAGTACATAATGTCAATATTGGAAGTGAAACAAGGGCAAAGCATCTGGTCGACTGATTGGATCTACAAAACTCATTCTTATACAGGTAAAAACGATTCTAAACATATGTTTTAAACCTATAATATGAAATCAAACAGACTTAGAAAAATCCAATTGCACGAATTCGCTATCTATTTATATCTTTGTTCATGTTTATATCGGGTTATGTGACCGTCGACAGTCTTCGGAGGTCACGTCGATGGTTAAATAGATGGCGTCTAGACTAAAATACATTCGAAATGTTGATACAAATTATCGAGTCCGTGCATCGTAAATCAATTATATTAAACTTTTTTATAATTTGGATATACGTTTTAGTATGTTATAAATCAAATACGAGAATTTTAGTCAAATCGGTGAACATGAATTTGACAGCTAGTGCCCCTTTAAACAGTAAAGCTTAATTAGAGTCCTTAATTTGAATTATAAGTCGGAAAAACTCGGTGATTATGCAGTCTCCAAATGAGTCAAAATATCAACTTTTAGTATATAAGTATATCAAATAACGAAAATTGTAAAGAGTCTACTACCTCAAATGAGATCATAAGAAAAGAAAGGAGTGGCACCTTTTCTATCGTGTAAATTTATCGCCTGTTGCTATAAGAGCTCTTTTGTTTACTCAACACAATGATTAATAAAAACATATAAGGCATATTTCCTGATTGTATTCACTCACGAGGTAGAACTGCAGTGTATGCCTAGTAATATTCGGACATCAAAGAGTTCGAATAGACTTTCAATATCACAAAATACGGATATGTTATTCAGCATTTTACATTTACATTACTCTTTATACATTACTGCCATTCTTTGTTAAATGAGTCATCTAAGCACATTCAATATCAAAGTAAATTAGGATTTCATATTATTAGTTTATTTTGATTCATTTTTTCTATTTACATGTATGTTAGATCTTTTACATGTATGTTAGATCTTTTACATGTATGTTAGATCTTTTACATGTATTTTGATTTTGGCAGTGGTGTTTAAGCAGGTTTTATTTACATTGTAATTGAGTTGAAGACGTAGTGTACATAATTGTTTTCTCTGAACGAACATGCAATGTACAAGCATACCGGTTTTGTGGTATCATTGTTCTTTGTGTAGTATTGGTAAGCAACAAGTGAAAACATTCCAGTTCTGTTTAAATCGTAAATGGTCGTATATGGCAATCTGTCCGCAAATTTACTAATTAATACCTGCCCAGACAAACCTGAATAACAAAATGGAAAATGTAAAGTTACAATGCAAGTCTGAAATAGTTACATCTTGTATTTCAGGATATTTATGTTGAATATTTACACGCCACCAAAAGAATCTAACGAATGTCACCATGATGTATAATGTAAACCGATAGACTTCTTTTCTGGTAAGACGTTAGAACGAAGCATGAAATATAAATATATTAGGTAAGTTACCCCTTCAACCTTTGATTTTTATTTTAGCCCTTATTACACACATTATAATGTAAGTACCAGTGGATTGTATTTCAAACACATAACACACAGTGGATTGTATTTCAAACACATAACACATAAGAATTTTAGTGATAAACGAAAAAAAACATTAATCCTTTAAAGATGTGAATCATCATTGCGTTTATCTGAAGTCAAATTACTATCTGTCGTGTTCCATTAACTCATGTATCATCTTTTATAAAAATGAAAGTCGAACACTACTCTTTTGGGGTACGCAAAAAGACATTTTGGGGACATACTTTCATATATTATGGTTATTATTGGCTCAATAGTAAATCAAGCATATGATTAATGCACTAAAAGTTTTATTCATAAAACACGCAGTAATATTATACCATGAAATGAGACTGAGATAGCGGCGTTCCTTATGATGGTTCCATTAACAGCAGTTACATTGCCACCCGTTGAATTTAGAGTCAAACCATACAGCATTACACAATCGTGCAAGAAAATGGAGTACGGATCAGGCTGTAATATAAATACGATGTTTCTGTAGATAAATACAGATTCAGATTGGTTTATAATACTCAATACTATTAATACATGAAATTGATAACAGGAATCGATAAAAATACTTGACAGTACAACATATCACATCAACCACCAACACAGTCTCCTCAGAATACAATAACAAATACCATCAAGTCCGATAAGTTCGTTCTCCCGGTAAGTTTACATATGATTTAATGAAGAGACTTACCTAAAGAACGAAACAATCGGCAAACAACAAAAATTGTTTCAAAGTTAAACCTATATAGCAATTATATAAGATATAGTTTTGGCAACAAACATGTAATCATATAAAATTACTCTAACGTTTGTTGTGCAATATAATGCACTTATGTATTCATTTTCATTAAAAATCACCTCCAATTTAGCAACGCCTTGTCTGCTACACTTTTATTGTATCCTTTGTTCTTTTTCCTTTATACGAGTAGTTTTGTCTCTGCAACAGTTTTATTTTTTCTATCAGAATGTGTCCTATCCTTTGGTCTATAGATATATATACTTATCACGAATTTACTTATCTTACACACCTCAGCAGCATCAGGCATACTTCTGTCATTACCAAATAAAGACCTAGCTGCAGACTTGGCTTCAACCATCCACGATTGTCCAACATCCCTAATATCACCTAATATTACCTTCAAATAAAGTATATTTAAAAGGACACGAGAAACAACGTCCTTAATATGAACTTAATTAACATATCCTGAAATATAATATACATTTAAATATAGAAAGAGAAACAAGCAACAAATCTCCTTTATTTCTCATTTACAATTACTTGGACACTTCGAAATTATTTGGCATTATATGTTTAACATAAAAAATATTCTTTGTATGGTGAAGGAATCAACAAAAGAGTTCCAATTCCTCATAATATTCTTTTACCTAAACCTTGAATCGGCATGTTTTGAGAGAAGGTGTGAAGAGGTTGTTTTGTTTGTTTGTAATAGAGTGATAGCGAAATAGATCTGGAGGTGTCTATGAATTGTTTACCTTGACATACATCTACATGATACAAAACTAGTTCGTACGGTGACCTATACTAGCTTATACTCTTGTCATCTGAACTCTGGTGGATAGTTACCACACATACCATATCTCCATATGTGTATATAATGTGGTTAAAAAAGAACAAAAGTTGTTTACTTACTGCAGATTTATTCATAGAACTCCTTTGTTGCAAAGAGAGGCAAAGGACGAGGCTTAGACAAAATAAAACATAAACAGGGTCAAATACAATACAGAGATAATACTCACGTATAACAAATTTTCGAATCCTCTCCTTGCATCATCATCATTTAAATCACCATTTTCCCATAGTCCAGTACTTTCCAGGCGTTGTATGTCATTGGTTGATGGCATAGTTATTTTGACATAAATAAACTGATAGTCACCATCGGACATTCCCAATTTATCAGCAAGGATCATATACTTCCGGAGTTCATCATCCGAAATCACCAAAATAATAACTTAAATAAAATAAATTTCTTTATTTACAAACTTATAGATTTCAAATAACGCAGCAGCTTTCGCGTATTTCATATGGAACCGAAACTTTGAAAAGTGTATTTATCTTATGATTTATAAATGAAATACCCTAAAAATGTAAGTATTGAATAATTCATGTATCTCCATCTGATAATTATCCTATTTTGATTTTTCATTCTTTTTTATTCGGTTTCTTTTTAAAAACTCGTTTGTATTCCTTAACTAAAAATTATATCAATCCAACAAAAGATACATAGAAAAAAATATACAAGTAAAAGATAATAGTAGTTAAATTCTATGTCATTTGGTGTCTGGTGGAGAGTCTCATTGGCAATTTTACAACATCTTCTTATTTTTATAAACATATAATACCGGTATGAAAGACAACAAAACACAGGCTCGTATAAAGCTATGGTGTATTATACTGTACCACATAATTTTATTATTTAATGAAAACAAGCTTTAAATCTCAAATTAAAGTACTCCACCCTGGTGATATGAAATCATACCTTCATATACTCTCATGTCGAAGGGTTTATTCGGAGATAATTTTATAGAGCAATGATATAAATAGTTCAGGATTTTATCTAATGCAATGCCCAATGTTAAAGTACAGAGAATGCCAATGCAGAAATAGTTATAGAATAATTTGAGTCTTCCTTCGAGTTATAAATAAGGGAATGTTAATACTTAAAGGGTAACTCGATGGGCAAGTTAATTAGTTAGATTAGTTAATCTTAAGTGATCAGTAATCTGCCAATTCTGGTTGGTGAGTTCAAACCCGCTCGTTGCTAGGTTGGCTTGACTTTTACATTTGACATTAATAACATTACCTATGGATGGTCGGTTCTTTTAATCTTATTTAAGTCTGTAAAGCCAAAGGAGAGATTCAACGGACAATTTCTAAACAAGTTAAAGTTCATGAAAAATATTTTGGGTGTAAAATGCCGTTTTTCATCTCAATGCTACCACGAAAAAATATGATATGAAGGTCTAAAAAAACAGTTCACTTTCAACGTTGACTTTACTAAGAGAGTGAGTTGTACACGAAGCATATTCATTTACGTTAACTTTATACATTGTCGTTGCTGGCAACAGTTTTGTACTTTGTGAATGTATGTGTTATACAACCCCTGATTTCAGCATATACAATATTTAATCATTCATACATACTTCTAGCTTCATACTTAATTGCTTGGAACTTTTCATCAAGGGTTTTAACATCGACGATAGGAGCCACTTCATAACGATTAACCAGATTAAAACCAAGGATAGACCAAGAGTCTATGGTAGATTCCAATGAATTTGCATAGGCAATGCTTTCTGATGCTGAAGTTGCTATCATAACTAAACGATGCCAGTTCATTTCACTGAGGAACAATCCGACGTTTCCTCCTAAAATCATAAAACAAGCATTTTTTAGTTTATATGGAAAATATCTTGAATGGTATTGGTGTGTATTGATTAAAGGGTGTCATAAAGGTACTTTGAACTTTCATTCTATTGTAAAGTATTGTGACCATAACAAAAAAATTAAAACAACACTTTCATAAGTTTTTTAAGTCAGAAGCGCTTTTTGGTGTTTACCTTAGCCAGGAATGCTAAAAAATGAAAGCCCAGGATGTACCTAAACACGAGAAGAGCTATATATCCAAAAGGGACGTAAGAAATAATAGCCAAAATCCATCTACGGTCAACTTTGCTTAAGGGAGAAGAAATTTTAGTTCCATAATAATTTCTAAATTCATTTTAAATAGCCCCATACCGCTAAGGGATTTGTGGGGTATTCTTAAATTGAAAATGACGATGGCCATAATTATGTAACTTCATTTACGGTTCTGGAAGTTAACTGTGTTAAGTTATTCCTCGGAAAAAAATGAAGTCGTTCTTTCACTTTTAAAGGTATGGTGTTGTCTTGTAATATCTTATGTGTATTTAGATTTTATTTGCGTTTCCTTTTATTTTCAGTTATGTTCTTTTGAGCTCTGATTCTTGTAAATAAATTAAGTTGGTTGAGGTCTGTCATATTGTTTTACGTTTATTGTTTTGTCATAAATCAGGCTGTTGTTTGGTTTTTTTTTTTTTGTTCAGTGTTTCATATTTTGTCATTTCGGGGACTTTTATAGCTGACTATACGGTATGGGTTTTGTTCATTGTTAAATGCCGTACGTTGAACGATAGATGCTTAAATTCGTTTCGTTTTGACTCTGCTGGAAAGTCTCATTGGCAATCATACCACATCACCTTATTTTATAAGGTATGTAAAAGGACCTAATAGAATATAAAATTGATATCCCCAAAAAAGGGGGATTAATCAGTTAACGATCTTTGCCATAAAAATTATAAATTACTAGACCAATGGTAAAAAAAATGTTTGCAACAGATTGAATGCAGTTAGATTTATTGTTTTATGAGTTTTTCATTTAAAATTGAGTAGTGACAAAATAGCATAACCAATAATTTTAGTGCTATAAAGAAAATATCACTTTCGCCTTCTTTTGTTTTACCTAGCTGCGACAACGGATGAATAACACGAATTAATGTTGTAGCCTTGTCTTTGTTGTCAAAATTTTCATCATTTGCTAACCAACTAAACACTGGTATGTTTTTATATGATGCAAGCTCCGCAACAGGTACCATTGCTGAAACAACAATGTAAAACATATAACAAACAATTGATCATATTAAGTAAGTCGTATCGACAATTATGTTCAGATTTCCTGGTTATTGACATCATCAGGTACGTAAAATAACTAGTTTTACTTGTCATGAGCAGCGTAACGATAGCCAGTAGTGTAACAGGATCCGGAACTGGTAGGTTGTCTGGGCACCTGAGTTTACCTCTTGTCTTTAGAGTGGCACGTGAAGCAGAATGTAGTTCTTTGGAGTAATAATATTCTTACTTTTTAAATACTAACATAGCCATGGTCAGGAGCTTGTATTTCAGTGGTTGTCGTTGGTTCATGTCTGTCATATATGATTCATTTTCGTAAATTGTTTTGTTGTAAATTGGGCTATTAGTTTTCCCGTTTGAATTGTTTCACATTTCTCATGTCGGTGCTTATATAGCCGACCATAAGGTATGAAATATTCTCATTGGTGAAGGCCGTAGTATGGCCTACCATTGCTTACACACACTCCATTGGAACTCTGGCGGATAGCTGTCTCATTGGCAATTGCACCACATCTCCTTGTTTTATTATGGTGTTGTTTGTCCATCCCCCCCCCCCCTTAGTTCCTCTCCTTGGTATCCTCTTATCTGTTCACAGAACAAGCGTTAAATAAATGTAGTTAAATAGTTAGTATATAACAAATACACAAAACGTTACCTTCAGTACAAGGTGGTCCTATAATTACATCTGCATGGTGGTGTGTCAGGTAGTCGGTAAGGATCCCGATACTTTGTTTACTGGTACAGCCAGAGTCTAAATAGGTCACACTTAAGAAAAAAAACGAGTATAATTTATTAATATTGTATGCAAATAGTCTTTAGTAGTTAAGAAAAAGGCTGAAATTTGATTTGATTGGTATATGCAAAAGTTTTGGCAAATCTTTTAATGTATTATTTGAACTCTTTGGTATTCAAATTCCAGGATCTTTCTTATTTTTACTGTATAAAACAAATACAATGGAACTCTGTCCGTGCTTTAATGTCTTTTTTGTTGCAGGTAATGGCTTGTTGTGCTTATCCTGAAGGCTTTGGCCTATCACAATACGAATTGCTCAAACAATTTACCAAATTGCAGTTTGAATTCATCTCAACAAAACTGAACAGCTGGTAAAATAATTTAGCACATTGTATCAGTGATAGGTTATTAGTATGAAGTAAGTGCAGTGAAGTAAAAGTAATGCTTATCATCCAACTTTATTTACCTTTTGTCTGTGTAATGAAAGTGAAATAAAATAATCACTTACTATATCATAAGGCACTGGTTTAAAAAGGTCTGACTTTGACATGAAAACTTCTATCCTAATGACATTTTATAAATGATTAGTTCTTACAATTGTTTGGTGAGTCAATAACTTATTGCTTTGTTTTCTAACAGAAAGTTATTGTGTAATTGTAAGTTGGATAATTTTTTTCTTTAGCAATTACTGATCTGCTGGCATTAAAGGAAAATAATTTTTATTCACTCATTGTAAAAAAAAAATATCAAAGATACCAGGCTAATGATTTTATACGCCAGACGCAAGTTTTGTCTACGGAAGACTCATCAGTATATTAAAATGCCAAAATAAGTACGAAGTTAAAAAGCATTGAGGAAACAAAATTATGAAAGGTTTTGCCAAATACTGCTTATAAGAAATCTAATCCTAGTGGGTAGAAAATACTTAGTATTTTGAACAATTCACATTTTTGCAAAACAGTTAATTTATAATTTTGACCATATGAATGATATATCACAGAATTGCTGACTTCTGGGCTGGTGATACCCTCTTAATTTACAGAGGAATCTATGATTTATACAACTTTGAATGTGTCACATATGTTTTTCAACAGCTCTTTTTCAAAATTTTAATCATCTAGATTATATTTATAGATTAATAGTTCAATAATCAGGGAAATAATGTTTAGAACAAAATACTAATAAATTGTCAATATGAAGGAAGTTGACAGTTGATAGAACAAAATTTTGTTGATTATAATGTGAATTATTTCCCTTTATTATCAGATTAGTGATTGCTTATAAAATAGTATCCAAAATTACAATAACACAATAACCTCCTGTTAGAAAACAAAGCCATAAATTATTAATCAACAAAACAATGTTTTCAACTAGTTATTTATCATTAAAGGCAACAGTAGTATACCGCTGTTCAATAGTCATAAATCGATTAAGCGCAAACAAATCTGGGTCCCAAACCAAAACCGAGGGAAACACATCAACTATAAGAGGAAAACAAAGGAACAACAGAAACACTGAACTGCTACAAAAATAAACACCTACATACATAGAAACGGACTATATGATAACAACTGCAATATTCCTGACTTAAATCTATTTAAGATAGAAGTTTTCATGTCAAAGTTAGACCTTTTTAAACCAGTGTCTCATATTATACTAAGTCATTATTTCATTTAAGTTTCATGACATTGACAATAATTAACTAAATTTGGGTGGTAAGTATAACCTTTTTTCACTGCACCCAGTTCACACTGACAACCTATCACTGCAGCAATTACTTGAAATATTATACCAGTTGATCAGTTTTTTGGAGATGAATTTAAACTGCAATTTGGTAAGCTATTTGAGCAATTCGAATAGTATTAGGCCAAGGCCTATTGAATAACCACAGTAAACTAGCTCTATAGAATGACAAGATGAATATAAAAATACAAAGATGTGGTACGATTGCCAATGAGAGAACTCTCCACAAGAGACCAAATGACACGGAAATTAACAACTGTAGGTCACCGTATGGCCTTCAACAATTAGTAAAACCCATACCGCATAGTCAGTTATTAAAGGCCCCGAAATGACAAATGTAAAACAATTCAAAGCTAATCACTGTTAGAATTGATT